CGAGGACTTGCTGGACTATGCTTACCCACTGAAGCCGAGGTACAAGCTGGGAAGGATACCGGAGCCTTTCCTCCATGACTCAGGAATAGGTCTGGACAGCTTTTCTGCTTCTCCTGAGGGCATGTCCAGGTCCACCAGCATCTACGGCCGAGCTGGGCAGGCTCGGGGAAGCAGAGAAAATGGACTTTGGGAGTTTGTGGCCTCTTCAGAGAGATTCTCCACCCCGAAGCCTGGAAAAAGAGGCTGCTCAGGAGCTGTCTCATACTTTGAATCTTCACCTATTGCCAAAGCATCATTTACAAGGAGTGCTTCCTCTCACCTTTCCAGAGGTTTTGCTAAGGATGTAAGGGTGGAATCATCTGAGCCAAGCTCACCTGGGCGCCCTGCTGCCGATGGGAGAAGCTGGGATACCAGAGGAAGCCCCTGCCCAAACTACACAGGGCAGGTGAAAAGCACCAGTAGGTTTTTACCCACCACAGGAGTGCTCCCCCTGAGGAAGGAGTGGGAGAGTGATGAAGAATTTCTTTCCCTGCCTCCAAGACTGAAGGAGCTGGAAAGGCTGGCTCAGTTTTTGTCCAATCTTTCCTTAACTATAAGGACGCCTGGGCATGACCGCCATAACCTTCCACATCACAGCACCAGCAAGGAGCCCCTTTCATCTGGGTTGGCTCCTTTTGAAGAAGTGAGAGGTGGGGGTGACAGAGGGAATACTGAGGGTTATGCTGGGCTGTGGCAACACCGCAGCTCCCAAAAGCCCAGCTGGGAAAGCACAGACTCGAATGGCTGGATCCACAGGGATCCTCCCCGCGGGCTTCATCTACCAACTGGTCTCAGGGACACGTCGGATGGGATGTGCCTAAATGAACCACGGGTCAAGGGGCGTCCAAAGAAGAGCCAGCAGAGCGAGTCCCTTATCCAGTGTGTTAAGGTAGGCTGAGACCAGAAATAAACTTTATTCTGGGAAGATCTCGCATAAAATGTGCCTGTCTTTATGGCAGGATTAATTAAAGCTTCCCGTTCTGCATGATGTGCCCTGCCTGGCAGCTGGTGGTAATTTATGCAGGGGGGCTCAGCAGAGCAGATAATTCCTTCTGATGGAGCAGGAGCCCATCTTGCTTTCCCTGGGGCTGTGTCACAGGCCAGGCTGGCTGGAGATGTGGCACTCAGCTGGGTCCCCCAACCCACTCGTCCTGCAGTGCTGCTGCACCGGGCAGGAGGCAGGAGCTGCAGCAGCTCTGAAGAGTTCTCCTGGTTGGTTTGTGGATTATTACATTTGTCCCAGCACTGTGCTCCCACCCTCCTCTCCATCTTCCCACCCCAGTGCTGGGACAAATTTGGAAACGATGCTAGGCTGTTTGCACAGGAGCGGTATCATGCACATAGCTGCAAACTCATCCCCTCCTCTGGTATGGAAATAACTCTGTTGATTTAAAAGCATCTTGTCTGTATTTGTCATGCCAAATTGCAATGCCAGAGAAAGGCACTGCTTTACGGCAAACTCTTGAGGAGCAGGAACAGGTCTTGAGCCTGATTTTGGTGCCAGCAGAGGCCCCTGGGTTTCATGCAGCATCTTACAAAAATAATCCCTTACGGAGACACTTTAAAAATAAATGAAAGCACTTAACTGAACGAGACAATCTCTTGGGGAAAGCAGCTGCAAATTAACTGTATGGCTCTGGTGAAGAGGATGAGGATATCTCCTGGGCTGGGAGGTGGTGGAGACCAACCTCTCCTTCAGCCTGAGTGCTACCAGCCTCCAGCACCTCTCCGTGCAGACATTTCATGGTGGCCCTCAATTCTTGCCACACAGTGAGTGCTGGAACTGTTCAGGAGTTTGTTTTTGCCTTTTTCCCGTTGACCCTTGGTTTCCCAAGCTTAGGCATGTTTGTGTGCTAGGGTCAGGTAAAACCAGGGAACAGGCGCTTTCCAAAACACCACTGGCTCAGCTTTTCATGTCCCTTTGCTGTCTCTGTTGCAGAAATAGATCAGTGACCCCTTTTTTATGCTTTGTTGAGCAGGTGTTTTGCTGCCAGCTGGAAGAGCTGATCCGTTGGCTGTACACCGTGGTGGATGTCACCGGCAGCTGGGTGCCACCCTCGCCGGATGCCGAGAGCGTGTTGGCCTCGCTGCACCGCTACCTGGTGGGTGTCACCCTTGCTCTGCTTCCTCCCCTCTGCTGTGCTGCAGGCAGCAAGCAGTGGGAAGCCAGGCATCACTGGAATGGGCCAGGGTGCACTGGGTTTGCCAAGCCAAATTTGGGAGCACCAGGAACCTGCTTGGCAGAAACTGCACCCTGGGCAACCTGCCACAGGTGTGTGCTTCAAAAACCCTCCTAAGAAACGCTGCTCTTGTCCTTGCTGTGCCAGGAGTTCAGGAAGGATGTGGCCGACCACCGGAGTCTGACTGAGAGTGTGCTGGAGAGGGGAGAAGCCCTCCTGGACTGCATGGCATCGAATTCGCCAGGTGAGGAGGAGCACTTGTGTGGGGCTGCTCATGGACACAGTGATGCTGGCCAAGGCATCTGCCCCCCCAGAATCCCTGGCCCAGCCTGGCCAGCACCACAGCACACGCAGAGTGGTTGCTCTGGTGATTGAGAAGAAGGGATTTCTAAGGGCTGGGCTGTAGCTGCAGTCACCAACGGGGTTTTAGAGGTCGAGTGCTGCATTATGGATGGGCTTTCCAAAGGTTTTCTCTAAGACCCCCTATTTCTGCATCTTCATTATGAGCCTGGAGCCTCCTGGGTCAGTCCCCTCCCCCTGCAAATGCTACATCACAATGGGGATGGGATGAACAGCACATTATTGATTTTTAACACTTGATTTCCTTCCAAAGTCTGCGTGGACGAGCAGAACTGTCAGCTCTGACAGACACTGAATTCTGGCATTCCAGTCACCTCCATTCAGGCATTTTTTGCTTTCCAGCTCTGAAAGACACGCTGGCTCTGATTGCCAAACAGTCGGAGGAGCTCGAAAGCCACGCAGAGCACCTGTACAAGTCCATCCTGGCTGCTGTGGGGCAGGACAAGGCGGCTGCAGCACACGGCTGCTCCCTGGGTAAGCAGGGGCAAAGCAGCCTTGCTGCAGCGGGCAAAGAGGGGAGGAAGCGCAGGAAGAGAAACACTGGAATTAGCAAACACCAAACATCAGGCTCCATTGTTATTTGTTTGATTCTGTTTGGAAAGCCTGAGAAGGCAGCAGGGAGACTCAGAATAGATGCCCTGTCGTGTTTAACCATGTCAGGGAAAGAGCAGTGCGGGTGAACCAGCTGATGAAACCCAAGAGCACGAGGGGAGCGATGGCAGCTCCGCAGGGACTGGGCAGGCAGGTCCCTGTCACTCAGGGCTGGGGCACGGCAGCAGTCCAGCACAGACACCTGCTCTCCCCGGATCCCTTGCACAGCACAGGGGAGATGAGGAAGGGATACATTTTGGTTTTCTATTTTCTCAGAAACATTCTGGTTGCTGTATTAATGGTGGGAAAGGGAAGCAAGTGATTTCAGGTATAGGGGCTGGAAAACTTGTTTGCTTATTTCTTGACCATCTCCCTTGAAAAAAACTGGAGGCAAGTGTTTCAGGGGTGCCAGCCTCTTAGAAGACAAAACCAGTGTCTGAAGTAGTGTTTGGTTTGTTGTGGTTTTTGAATTGCTGCCTCTACCCAGCTGTACCCTCTGCAGGGGTGAGTGGGGGAATAGAGCATGGGGGTTTCTCTTTGTCAGACTGCAGGCAAAGCACAGCACCAAACCCCTCATTTTATTTCAGGTGCTGCCTCTGTCAGACCTAGGCTGCGTTAGCCCATCTCAGGAGGGCTGAGAAGAATTGCAGCAAGCACCAAACCACCTCCATCACCTCGCCAGAGATGCCAAAATCTGTGTCCAGTTGCCCACGGGGCTGATTTCAGTGTGGGTTTGTGCCATGGCTTGAGAAAGGTGTCCCGTACAGCAGGTGTGCTGGGATGTCCAGAGTTGTGTAAGGAATGTACAGTTGGCCTTTTCTAGTTTGTTTTTTTTAACATAGCTTCCTTTTTTTTTAATTGAAGTGGGCTGTTCTGTGTTAGCAAAACGTCAGGGGAGAGTTTTTTAACTGAGCAATCCATAGTGTGCCGTGCGCTCGCTAAGTAAAGCCGTGTGATTTTAATAGCCCTGTTCTCATGGTTTGTTTATGCTCATCAAAAATAGGTGCAAGAAGCCAAGAAATAGCAACTCCTTCTGGGTCTTGGGAGCAAACTGAGGGCCTGTTTATAATTACCAGTCCCTGCTGAAGCAGAGCCTACTTAACTTTCAATTTTGTTATTCATAAACACAAAAAGCACTAATACTGAATCCAAATAAAATAATCAACAAGCGAGTTCAGGCAGGGAGGAGCCAGGTTCCGTGTAAGCTGCTGGTACCTGCTGCTGGCAGGAGCTGGGTTAGTGCTGTGCTGGTTTGCTGGGGTGAAGTTGTGCCTTCCCCCCTTCCAGCTACTGCTCCTGAGAACATTCATCAAGGGTTTCCACGCCCCTTCTGCAACAGAAAAAGGGCAGCTCTGAAGCAGCATAAGGTAAGTGGCCAAAAAAAGCTACAGAATGTTGGTACTTGGCTTTAATTAACCTTTAACCTGAATGGTGATGATGTATTCTGCACAAGAACACGATGATTTCCTCCCATTCCTGTGAACAGAGCAGAGAGGTTTCTGTTCTGCACAAGTAGAAAGTGAAAGCAAAGTTAACTGAAGCAGTTACAGCAAATAATTCATTGGGGTTTGTGGGGGAGAGTTGGTATTCTCCCATCTTCTACATCCTTGGCTTAAAGGACAAATTTTTTTGGCCCATTGCGGCAAAAATATTCAATATTTCAGCTCACAGGTAAGAAACAACAGCGCCTTTTCCCAGGAATTTTAGGCCTGCTCATCACACAGCTCAGCCTGACAACCCCAGGCTTCAGCACGGAACAGCACCAGCCCAGTGACCCATTGGTGACTGAGGGGGAAACAAAGAACCACCAAACACCTGGTGTAGCCCAACTGGTTTTGCAATGCTTTTATTACTGTATATATTAACATTGGTTTGGATAGTATGTAGCAGGCATCTGACATTGAAGTTCATTTGTGCACTCTCTGCAGGGAAGATGTTTTACCCTCAACACACCTCCTTCTGCTTCACTTCCTGATCTCAGCAGCACTCACCGCTCCTGAGAGCAGCAGGTCACATTTATAATGAATTATACCAACAAGCACATCTCTACTAGAAAGCACATCACTTTATTGTGAAGGTCTCAAGTGGAAGAGTTCAACTTAACCATGACAATACTTTATGTATTACAATTGCCTGTTGATTTATGCAACTATGTTGAAGAAAGCTGTTAGCCAAAGTCACCCCCCCCCAAAAAAAATCAGAGGATATTTGCACCAGTTTTAGTTTATACCTCACAACATACCTAGGCTATATTTTTACTATCACAGGGTGTATTTACTACTAGGGGAATGTTACATGGTCTTTCAAACATGAGACTATTTACAGAATAGGCTGAACATTTGAGTTTAGATAAAGCTGAACAATTTTACATGTATAGGAAGTGTTATAGGCTAGCTTTCCTGTGGCTTTTAGCTAGACATCAGGCACTAATGATTTGATTAGCTCTGTACAAAGAATCACACACCATCCAAAACCTCTTGGCTGCTGGTTAGTTCCAAATTGTTTGAGAAAGCGCCTACTTTGAGCAACAGTATGGTGGGGGCCTTGCTATCCCCATGTCACCCTCCTGGTGCCTCGCTGCAGAAGGGAACAGAAGCTAAGCTGTTGCACTACGGCAGAAGGTACTGATTAAAAGAGGATGGAATTAACAGTATATAGAAAAGACATAATATACTGGTAGAAAGTCATACCTCCTCCTCAAGGTTTCGCTGAAATCATTCGTGTTAGGGAAATACAGTTCTCTCCCCTGCTATGCAAAGCTGATGGGAATTCCCTACATAGAGTCCTTGAGAAATAAATTAAGTTCCAAGACTAAGTTAGGGAACTGTTGTACATTCAGAGTGCATTATGCCTCACGAACCTTGGCTGGGTGTTTCTGGTACAGCACTCGTGCCTTAAGCACCATGACAGCTCGGGCTTTGGGGCCACAGTCACTGGGCGAGTTGCAGGGAAGGTCTGAGAGCCATGGCTGCACACACAGATATGTTGTTTTGTGCACAATGCAAGCCTGATTTCCCCCTTAGCCATACAAATTAAGACAATATTTATCACCATACAGTTTGATATTACTTCCAATAAGTACAATATTTATTAAACATTTCTTCAGTTTTGTTACATATTGTGCAACAAATTACAATATTCTGCAGCCACAAATTATATGCAGAGTATGAAGAAACTATTAATCAGATAGTGTGATCTCTCCATTTATAATTCTACAAGAAGGAACTAGCAAATCAGATCTTACATATATCTTACTAAATTTTATGCATGGAAAGTGACAGACACTGTTGTGCTGTTTGATACAAAATGGCTAAACTTCATCTTCAGAAGACTAAACCTGACATCTAAACATGCCAATAGAAACATCAAAACAAAAATACATCCTAACCAACCACAGGAAACAGTCTGGTATCAGGAAAAGCAACAAGGATTACACGTTTATAAACCAGCACACAAAGGTTTAAAACAGTTCTGAAAATGAAGTTAGCTGTCTTGAGTCAAGGGAATAAAAAAAGTCAGTATTGACCATTTACAATCTCTGACCTTTGTGGAGACGGTAAGAATCTGTTGTAGTGCAGCTACATACAGTACAATTCAGGCAAATTTTTTTTCACTTGGGTTCAGATTGCAAATTCATTGTTGTGAGACAAAAGGGGGGAGGCAAGTTTTAGCAGCAACCTCCACTAGACTGCTTGACTGGAGTGCTCTGAATTTTAACATTGGACTTCTCTGCACCACCAGCTGTCGCTCCCGGACCCATTCGTTTTTTAATCTCGGCAGCCATGGTCATGAAAGACTGTTCTACATTTGTGGCATTCTTTGCACTGGTTTCCAAAAACGGAATTCCAAGAGAATCTGCAAATTCCTGCAAATCGAGAAACAGTGAACAGTAAGCTCATACACAGGTTCATAGCTCACCTCATTTCCTGGAGCACCACAGGATAACTCACAAGTTCCTGGATCCCGCCCCACACCCCATCTCCAGTCTGAGGATGAGCTGCAGGGCAGGAGGTCATTAACCTGCCCCCATTTGTGGCACCAGGACACCTCCATGCACTGGAACCTCTGTGCATGACAAACCAGAGCAGGGGCTCAGCCAAGCAAACACACAAGTCCTGACATACCTTTGCTGTTGTATAGTCTACTACTTTCTTTGTGGTCAGATCACACTTGTTCCCCACCAACAACTTGTTGACGTTTTCACTGGCATAGCGGTCTATCTCCTGCAGCCACTGCTTGACATTATTGAAAGACTCCTACGAGATAAGAGAACTGTAAGCAAGGCCCTTGATGAAGGGGAAAGTTCAGCACTATCCCTTTGGTCATGACCAGGAAAGAGTATGAAGCACTGCACTTATCCATGTGATTCACAACCATGGGAAAGGACTCTCTAATGCTGCCCAACTCTCCTGATGGCCTCGGGACAGGCCGGTCACCACAGGGGCCATACAGTCCTGTTCCCAGCCCTACACAATCAGCCCTTCCTGCACTCTTCCTCCCATTATTTTTCCCTGCTCCATATATTGAATATTCTACATCTTCTCTCATCTGGGGCTCTTCTTCCTCCTCTTGTAGCAGAGATAAGAAATGTGGCACACAGCTGGCACCAGATGCATCCCACATATTTACTAAGCATCAGGTGTTAGATGCAAGCCACTTTGTTGTAGATATGGTGGAACAACCTCTGACTCCAGAAATGCTGGACTGATACTCCAGTTAGTGACTGAACACAAGTGTTCTTTTTTTATTTATTCAGGAAACGCTATACTTCCCAAGTGCCCTTCAAACAACTGCACCAGTAGCTCAGAGATCCTTTCAGAGAAAACACTGGCTCAGTTGTATCTTGCACACAGGCTGACAATTTTCTATTCCAAATGCCGGTCTTTACTGCAGACCACAGTTCAAGTACATTCAGAAATCTTTCAACAACTTCCATCAGTAACTCAGATTTCCTGCTACCAAAGGCAGGGCGAGAGGGTTCACACAGAACAATCAGTTACCTGCTCACCAAGTTTTAGGTTAAGCCTAAGATACAATTGCTTAGGAGCCACAAATCCCACTGCTCTCTTTATTTCTGTGTTTTATTTCTGCCAAACCAGAGGCAAACACACACACTTAGCTCGATAAGCCTTAACACAGCCTGCAGAACTCCGTCACTGTCTCCCTCAAGAGGTGCCCAGCTGTTAAATTCCCAGTGTTCTCATCAGCCTGGAGAAACTGCAGGCACAGGTTTAACACATACCTGATCTGTAACATCATACACAACTATGATGCCATGAGCTCCTCTATAGTAACTGGAAGTGATAGTCCGAAACCGCTCCTGTCCCGCCGTGTCCCACTGCAAGACAAGTGACAGGGTCAGCTCCTGCAGCGTGGCTGAGCCAGTGCTCTACATCAGCTTCCAGAAACACAGCTCAGCAGAGCAGCCATCCAACTGCAACCACATCCATGCTACAGCTACAGCAGCTCTGAAGCTGTACGCATCAAACGGGATCGAGGAGAGCACGTATTTTAACTGAGAAATACACTTTGTGTGTACTTTTCTAAAGTGCTCCTTTGTTTGATTTCAGCCAAGTGTAGTCAAGAGATCTCTCTGGGGAAAACATTAAGCAGTTTTGACCCACGAAGAAGCCATGGTTCAATGGTCAGAAAAGCAAACACAAGCCAGGGCTTGAAAACCTGCTAGGAATAAGGTCAGAGAGCTGCAGGTCTCTAACATGACCGCTCCCTTCAACTTCCTTGGCACACAGGCTTCAGCAAAGGTATTTAAAGGCAACAACTCAAACCAAACTTGGTTCCCTTCTCCTGCTGGGAGAGTTAAGAAAGGACAGAAGGCACTTGATCTCTTCTCCCACCCAGGACGGGAACAGGACTCACCCAAACATTTCTCTCCCTGGAGCTGTGTCAAGAATAGGCCTGGCTGTGTATTAAAAACAGACTTCACAGACAGATTTCAGCAGTGACAGCACTCCTAGTGGGCTGCTCTGCACTCAGGACAGTTACATTAGCGTCTGGAAGCTCAGACTTCTGGCTGTAAGCTGGACTCTGCTCCACAACACTGAATCCCTGAGTCATTGCCTTCAAGTCCTGAGAGCCTCTGCTTGAGCTGGAAGCAGTGGCTGACAAGGATTGTCTGACCTTGCACAGATATTAGATTTCATCACACCAGTCACCCTTTTAGAGTGCTTCAAGATTAAAGAATTGCCAAGTCTCTTCCCCTGTTTATTCCAAGTGAAAGGCCAAAAGCATAACCAGAAAACACTGTCCAGTGCTAAGGCAGCCAGGCCAGTTACAAGCCTTTGTGTCAGTTTTTCCATTCAGGTCAACAAAAGTAGTTTCCAGCACTTAAAGACACTGCAGCCTGGTAGTAACAGCTGCTGTGGAATTCAGGCATCTTGGACAACTGTGTGGTATTCCTGCACTTACACTGGAACTACACCAGTTTTGATATGAGAGCACTCCAGCACAGAATTTCCTCTTCCAGGCAAACAGCCTTGATAATAAGCACCCTTCTTTAAGGACAGGTAAGTCTTGCAAAAACTGCCTCACCTCTTGTAACAGGGAAAATACCCCTTGTATCTGCGAGTATTTTAAAGTACCAAGATGACCACCAATAGCTACGGATATAACTCATGCTCCAACAGACTGAAGCACACAGGAGTTGAGAAATACTACTTACTATCTGAAGCTTGATTGTTTTCCCATCTAGTTCTATAGTTCTGATTTTGAAGTCCACACCAATCGTGCTGATGTAACTTTCTGTGTACGTGTCATCCTAGGAGAGAGAGTGAACATAAGTCAAGCCAGCTGCACCTCTTCTGCAGTCACCTACTTCATTATGCACCAGTCAGACAAAGGTGCTTAATTTCCTTGTAAAACCAGCCTGATCTCTCATAGCAAAGTCCAGGAGGTGGCCAAGCATTTCCACTGAGTATTTACTTTTCAAAAATTCTGCAGCTTTTAAAAGCACCAATCAGAACCAGTAAAAAAAAAGCCTCTTTTCTGGAAATCCCATAGTGTCAATGCCCTGTGAGCTGCAGTGTAAAAAACAGTCTTTGCTCGTGTTGCAGACTGAAGAGCTACTTAGAATAACCACTAGAGTTACTGAAACACATCACATTTTTATTTTCCTTCGATGGCTTTTCATCTGTGTTACAGAGCAGCTACCTAGAACAAGCCAGAGGCTCTGTCTCAGTCACACACGAGTGTCAGATCCTCTGCTGCTGCAGCTGGTTGCTAAGGCAGGTTAGAGTTACAGCTGGAGTACTCGTGCTGAGGCTCTGCAGCCCGTGTCCATACAAGAGGGGAAGCACTGCCTCAGCAGCTTGCAGGGACCTGACTGCAGTCTCCAACAGGCCTTAAGGCACACAGAAACTGCTGGGTCAGTCTTTGCTGCCTTCTAGTGATTGTCAGCATGAAGGAAGTTTCTACTCCTAAAGTACCCAATGTACCACAAAAGGCTTTATGCAACCAGTAGGTATCAGAAAAAGCAAGGGATTCCTCTGGGCTGTGAATGGAAGACATCTTAGGTAATACATGCAAGTAAGAATAAAGTATTAAGCCTTTCAGAATGACATGACATTTTAACGTACAGCAGCAAGAAAACACAGGTATGGTATGCTGTGGTAATTCCTTATGTCAGGGTAAAACAGTTTAGTTGGAAAAACACATGTCAAAAGGAAAAGGCTACTCAGGTGAAGAAACATCAGATAACAGAGCACAAACTTAAGCTGGCTATCAAAAAAGAAAAGTTGGATTATTTACATGAAGCCAAAATTAATTCAAAAGTATCTGCAAGAGGAGCAGGCTAGACCACTCTGGGAATGCTGCTCTAGCTGTGGTGTCACTTCCAAGCCACTGCCTCCATACTGTGAGCACAGCAGGTGACATCCTCCTACTGCTCATCCTGCTCCAACAGCAGCCACAATGGCTTTAACTGAGGCTGTCTGGACACCCAGGCCACCACTTCACATTAATAACACCAGGTACAACAGGCTTGTTCCAGAGGTGCCCAGAGGAACTGCTCAGGCTGTGAAAACAAAGCCATCACCTTGCAGCAGTGCCACACTCAAGTTTCTAGGTTCATGCTCCATATCCTGCTTCCCTTCCTCTCCTCCCAGGGACACATAAAGCTGCACTTTGGCACAGACAGAGATAAGAAGTTCACTGGACTTCAGCTTTTTCTACTAAGGCCTGTCAAACCCATTTTACATTTTCTTGTTGACAGGAAAACTAGAGCCAGAACAGCTCATCAGCAATTTTAACATTCACTAAAGAAAGCAGGAGGCCTTATTATTCCTAGAGTATTATTTACATTACTTCTCTGACTAAACAAGACCTACCTAAACTGGTAGGTCTTTTTACTGCAGATACCAAACTTCATCAGGCTGAAATGTTCTTATCAAGTAGTAACTGATCAAGGTCTGCACTCCTCATGCCTAAGGACACACCCGAGAATTCCTTCCATCCTCAGCATTCTATCACTACTGTAATGATGGAAGTTAAATTCAGGTACCTTGTTCTCAAGTAAGAGGAAAATTAGAATTAATCTTAGCTGGACATATTATTGATATTATTTCTTTCCAATTTAGTGAAACAATTACACCAGACAGACACAAATTCAGAAGACAGGAGGAGTTTGCAATACTGTACTTATTCTTTGGTATTACCAGGCCTATCAGACATCAGCCCTGCTACCTGAAGGGAAGCTCTTGCTAAGTACCTCTTTTACATAGCTGCCAAGCATGATCACTTACTGCAAACCTAAGTAGAAGGCAAGATTTCCCAACACCGGAGTCTCCAATCAGAAGTAGCTTGAATAAATAGTCACTGCAGAAGGAAAAAAAAAATAGGTCACTTAATGAACACTGTCAAGAAAGAAGTTCCTTACAGCCAGTATATTATGACTTTTGAGACGGGTAAATTAATTCACTGCTAGGGAAATCACCTACAACTCCAAGCTCCTCTATTCAGTTTAGAAAGTCACAATTTACTTGGAAAGGGAAGTGTGAGGTAGATGCTCTGAGCACAGCATTGTTGTGGAACTGTGCCTCCCTGGGAAGTTACTCTGAGGATAACAGAGGGACTAGCAGCAGGAATAGCACAGTCCTACCTCGCCTTTGTGGTCTAGCTGAGATGAAAACCGTGCCTTGCAGTGAGTGCAAGGCCCCTGGTTTGGCAGAGTAACTCAAGTAACACACGTGGTGGTAACAGCCTGCTGCCCTCCAGGGCCATTATCTTTGTTTCTCTGGACTCAGAGGTTTCATCCCACTGCTCAGCTTCACCAACACCAGGGAGCTGACAAATGCAGCCATTTCTTTCCCCAGTTCAAGTTACTCATATTTAAGTTCCAGCAGAATCCAACAGCACAACTGAATACCCACCTCCCACAACAGACTACGAGCGGTGACCAATACCACACCTGCCTTCCAGGAATTACAGCAAAGCTCAAGTCATTTCCAGATGAGGATACATCTCTGGGGGATGTCAGGTGTGGTATTAGTAATTCTCAAGATACACTGGAAGAACTGACAAACCTTTTGCTTAATGTTGAGTTTTCCCAACATTAAAGAATAAGCACAGTTCACCAACCAGCCTAGATTTACACTTCAAAGAGTAGTGAAGATTTCATGGTTGGCAAAACAGGAGGTTTTGTGTTGGTCCTAAGACTAATGGGGAAATTTCATGCTAGAGAACAAGTACCAGAGAAAAATAACAACCCACCACTTACACAAGTTATTTTGCCTCTCAAGTACTACACTAACTCATTCTCAGTTAACAACTCTTCGGCCCTGTAATGGCCCAGGACTAAGTCTTGTTCTCACTTAACCACAACAGTTCAACAGCCATATTTTTATGCCCACTTAAGCAAGGAGAGGTAAAGATTAAGGATATGTGGAGTGCCTGAAGTCCACTGTCCCCACCTATTATTCCCTAAAATCGCCACTGCCTCTGGCTGGCAGGAATCCAGCCAGGAAACTGCATCCATCCCCAGCTGATAAGAGCCAAGCAGATGGCCAACCACGGCTTCTCAGCACTTCTCTGCTCAAGTGCCTCTCACCTGGCTGGGCCCCGGCTGCAGAACACACCCAGCTGGAACCTCCAGTCCCTGCAGCACTTCTGCCAAGACCAGAGAGGAGTCAGAAGTGCTAAATGTAGCAACTAATAACCCAGTCCTTAAAAATGCAACCTTTCCTAACAGTGTACAGCTAAAAGCACTAAAAAAAAAGTCAAAGGATACCTAGCAGTTTACAGTCACAGAATTCACCACTCTACCTGTCAAGTCATGTACTACCACAAGGCAAGATGGGTTTAGGAGAATGACAATTAACCCAAACTGTTCAGGGGACCTAAACTACATTGCCCCACAACCCACACATCTCAGTAGGTTTGAGGTGGCTGTAGCACTACTACAGACCAGAAAACTTCTCACCCCCAATAACAGTTTGGTCCCCAAGAGCAGGAGAAACTCTGTAACCTGGAGATCCAAGTAAAGTATGAGGGCTCCAGGACCTGCTCCACTGTTACACCTATGCCTTGCCTTTTTCCCCACTGCTGTGCCTCAGCTTTCACTCAGCTCCTTCCAACTCCAGCAGGAAGCTTGGGTTGCTCAGTTCCCTATAAACACAGAATTTTCAGCAATCCTGAAGTCAAATTATTACTTACAGCTTGTAACATGTTATAATCCCCTTGAGAATATTAACACAAGAATATTAGCACTGTATTGCCTTCAGTAAAATTAATGGAAAAAAAGTAATGCCTTCCTGGTAGAGGTAAGGCTTCAGCCATGGGTCTGAGATCCACTTAAAAACTTCCACTTGCTTCCAAGAGTAATTCAGGTTCCCCCAGGCCCCAAACATGAAAACTTCCCTTCCTCTGTTACTCCTCGTGCTAAGAGCAGCTCCCAGCCAAACCTACCCATTACATCTCTCACTCTTCAGCAGCAAACAAGAACAGTAACAGTGGGTACCTAGAACAAATGTTAAGCTAACACAGTAAGACCTCAGAAGCCTTAAACACTGGATTTGGTATCTTTGCTATCCCCTCACTTTGGGCTTCAGTATTTCCAGAATCACAGAGACAGACAGTGGTCTTAAGCCACCTGCCTCAGCCCCACCAAAACCAGGGCCAGCACCAGGTGCACAGCTGGAAACAGCCTTTACTAAGTTAGCTCTGTCTCTGACCCTAGAAATGGGTGTTGTGTCACAAAAACCTAATTTTGGTGGTAAGACTTTCATCAGTTTGGGAATACTATAAGTAAGACTCTAGGAACTTAGGGTTTTAATTCTTTGGAACACTCCATATTCCAATATTATAGGGCCTTCCTTTCCAAGTACAGCTTAAAGCTTTAAAACATACAGCTCCCAAGGCCTTTTAAAATACAGCAGGTGCCTATTTAGGGCCATAAGAACCAAATGTGCAGTTTGTTAGAGTGTGATGCTTGAGACAGCTCTTGGGTACAGCAACAGTTTAAATCAAATAAAATTTTAAAAATCTATAAAAATTTGCAGAAACTTATTTCTAGACTGAGCTACACCAATAGAATATTTGGGTAAGGGGTTCAACTGTAGCAAGGCATCCAATAAGCCACACAGGTTATTTGGTATTTACTCCTGAAAAGCCACACAAACATTTCTGAAGCCACTGAATTTTGCTCTTTAAATCTGGAAGCTCATCAGCTCCTCTGGTTGAGGGAGCCTTCATAAAGCTGGCTGAGCTATGCAGCACAGCCCTCTCCACACTCCTTGGGAGACACTGGGAATTCAGGTTAATCATTCAATTATTTCTCACCATTTACATAAGCCAGGCATACTTGGGTCGTTTAAAAGAGCACACTGGAAGAGCATGTGCAGCAAGGCAGGTGGGTACGGTGAGTAAGAGTGAGGCTTTCAAATCCTCCCCATAACTTCCTCTTGCCAGAGAGATAAAGGACAAAGATGTTAAATGTAACTGCTTCTTGCCAAAAAAGAAAAAAAAAGGCACCTCCAAATCAAGTCGAGGACAGACCTGGCCAAAGCTGTGTGGAACAAGGGATCTTTGGGCCTCTAAGATAGAGCTGTTTATCTAATTTATATAAGGAGGCATGTGGGGATTTTTTAAATGCCTGGAAGGTTTTATGCCAAAACAGACAAGGCTAGGTAGTCAGCTGCAGGTTTACTGTAAACAGGTACTCACAGCAGCCTCAATCCCCACTCTTTGTTCTACCACCCCAGACATTTTGAAGGGGTGCATGAGTGTCACTCTGTAGGTAAACAGAGCCCGGAAGACACGCTGCCGCTTTGCATGGCAGATTGCTGTTCAGAAAGGTTAGAACACAAACACTTTCAGATGATTCCAGCAACCTAGGAGCTGCCACTCAATTGCCATCTCCTAACCACCATCACCCAAGACTGAAAGCCACCTCGCTGGTATTCCCAAACACTTCTGAAGATCTAGAACAAGATCCAGGCAGAGCACTGATCTGATCAAGATTAACTCCAGATCCACCTGGCTGCTCTGGACGGGCACTTCACCAGCGTGTTTATGCCACATGCAAGCGGCAGAAGGGCAGGAAATGCTGAACCTGACACGATGTAGTCACAACAGAGTCAATATTGACATTCTGCTCACTCAAACACCGCCAGGCAGGGAGGAACAGAGGGAACACATCCCAGTGCTGGGTGGGCAGATGTTTTCAGAATTTAGCTTCCAAACACTAGTTTTAGTATCACATCCAGCCCTCTTCAGCTCCTTCACTCAATCTAAAAACTAACAGTCCACTTGGCTGTCCCACAGCCCTGAAGCTTCAAGGAAGCTCTCAGAAGCACAACTCCCCTTCAAACCTTTGCATGAGCAGGATCTAACCCTGTAGCTTTATCAGGAAAGCTGAAGGAAGTATGTCTTTAGTTAGAAATTTTAACTAGCCATCCCACTGACTTCTGATGGAGTTCTGGCATGCCCAGGAGAGAGGATTTGGGGCTGCAGCCTGATCTGAAGCTGTGATAGGGAAGTGAGAATGTGTTACAATATATGTAAGGCACTTCTGAGAGGCCAAATGGACATCTCTCTTCACAGGGAACAGAAGGAGCAATGTCGTAATCCCTTAAATCTTATTCCTGTTTTAACAGGGATCCAAGTACACACATCACAGTGACAGGTATTTTCTGTCACTGTCTCACCACACCCTTCCCATCTCCTCCCCTCCTCCTGCCGACTCCACCCTCTCAGGAAGTGGCAATTTAACACTTCGAGTTAATCTCCAACTCCAGCTTTTCCTCTTTGTTTCACTTTCAAGAGCTCGGCTGTGCTCACCACCAGGACCAAGAGCTCTTCACTGAGTCTCTCTGAAAACACTGTCCTCAGCACTCAGTACCTGGCTGCAGGGAACCACCCTCTGCATCAGTCTAGAGGGCTGATGGACTGCAAGAAAGGCAAAAAACAAGCTGTGGAAAAAGCCCCCTCCAACTCATTTCTCTTAGCGGCCCAACACTCTGCAGGCAGCTTTCCCGCTACAAAACTCAACAGTCTGCAGGGTAAATTTGAGTTTAACTCTTGAGAGCCATTAGGACCATGGGGCACCAGCAGTTTGTTGGTTTTTCTTCCACTGCCCACCTCCAGCTACTGTTTTGGTGTTTTCCAAAGCTACACGAGCAAGTTTGTGATGTAATCTTGCCAAGATGTAACTCGAGTTCCTGGCTGTACCTCCCGCGTGTCACCAACTCCCTCGCTAGCTGATGACTACTTGTTTGCTCCTCAGGTGATTTTAATGGACTCAGAGTGCTTGCAACCAACCCCACTGACGCAAGTGGAGAGCACAGGAGCCATGGCCACACAAGTCAGGAGCCCCAGCCGAGAGGACAAAATTGTGGGTGTCTTCCAAGAGCAGCAATGTCACATCACATGTGCATTTCAGTACCAGAGCCACTCCAGTGGCATCAGATGTGACAGTGGCTTCATCACCCCAAACTGGGGTGCCAGCAAAGCCAGCAACAGGGAAAGGCTCCTAAACACACCCTGCAAGGCTGAAGGGTTGGAAGAGCAGCAGCTGATTTTTTCGAACTGCTTTCTAAATTAAGCCTAAATCCTTTCTCTATCTCACACAAGAAAGTCTTGAAAATAAAGTTTATTGTTCCCGACAGCCTGGTGGGCAGGACACAGCTCCCCGAGCTTCCAGAACAGAGACAACCCCTGGGCAGAGCTCAGACAGCTCAACTCCCGAGCAGGCCAACTAAAGAAAAAGGCCACACTCACACAACGACCCTCCCAAAAACCCCTCGTGTTGTCACCAGGCTTTCTAAGCAAGTGCCATTTCAGCTGGAAACAGCCTCAAGAGCGTTCTATTATCAAGTCACAGCGTTGCAAAATCTACATAGGCAAGAAGTGTTTTGCAAGAGCCATGTGACACACACATGACTTGCAGCTAAAGCGAAGGGTGGACCCCTGGCTCCGGAGCCGCCACCGGCCGGGGGATCGGCTTTCACAGGGCGCCGGTGTCCCCCCGGTCACTTGTTGGAGTCAAGGCCCCGATGTGCATTCCCGAGGTTCGGGAAAATCGCCGTGGCTGCGCCCCACGGCGCTGCCGGGCGGCGGATGCCGGTTCCCAGCAGGGACCCCACAAACCCCCCCGGCCCCGCCGGACCCACCCCCGGGCGGCCGCGCTGCCTCCAGCCCCGCCCCCCTCCTCCTCCTCCTCCTCCCGGTCCCCCCGCGCCCCGCGGCGCCCCCAGCGCGGCCCCGGGGCCGCCCCGTCCCGCACTCACTATTCGGGGTTCATGCTGGACATGTCCGTGGGGCCCGCGGCCCGAGGGACGGCGAGCGCGCTGTGAGGGGGCGGTGCGGCGGCACCTCCCGCCGCCGAGGCAGGCGCTCCGCGGTGCGCTGGTCCGAGGGAGCCGCGATCGCCCGGCGCTCGGCTCGGCCCGTCCGCCCGCGCCCGCTCCGCGGCCTCCGCGCTGCGCCTCAGCCCAAAATGGCCGCCGGAGCCCGACCAGGAAACGGGGCGGCCGCTCGCCGAGCAGCGCTTACATGGCCGGGGGGCGGCCGAGGGGCGCGACGGGAAACCGAGTCCACGCCGCCGCCTCCTCCCGGCCGCGCCCCCTCCTGCGGACTCGCTCTCCCGGCGGCCACGGCGGCGGCGGCGACGCATGCGCAGTAGCCAGCCTTTCTTCCCTCAGCCCCGTCGGCTCGGAGCGGCGGCCGGCGCCGCTGATTGGCCGGGAGGCGCCGGCCGGGGGTGACGTCAGCGGGCAGACGTGGCAGCTCGGGCGAGTCAGCGCGCGGGCGGGGCGGGGGCGGGGTCTCGGCGCGCGAGGCCGGGCGGGGCCGCGCCCGGGCTCCATCCCGGGCTCCTTCCCTGCCCCAATCCCTCCTCCCGTCCCTTCCTCCATTTCTGGCAGCAGCCCTCCGTCCATCCCGGTGCGGCCCCTCAGGCCGATGGTCCCCTTGGCTCCGGGCCCGGCGGGTCCGGCTCCGCGGGCTGCCCGCGCCGCAGCCGGGCCCGTGCCCGGGGCTGCGGGGGCGGCACCCGGCGGGGCCGGCGTGCGGAACGGGGCTCGCTGGGAACGCGGGCAGGCCTGCGGCTGCGGGGAGGCGGCGAGGAAAGGGAGACCCCGCTGCGCCGCCCGTGCTGGCGCTGCCGTCCGGCCGGTGGCGGACAGCGAGGCAGGCTGTGCTCTTTGAGGCTTCCCACTTGGAACGTGGGAAGCGCATCTGGGGCAGCACTGGGCATCTCTAGCTCCTCTACGGCCTGTGTTCTTCACTGTCCCTTTTTGCATCTTTTATCAAAAAATTTTGCCATTGCATCTATTACCTAAACTTCTTTACAAGCATTAATCACATTTCCCTACATTCTGCAGGCACAGTAAATATTTCTCCGCTCTAGTGACTGCTGGGAAGTGGGCATGGAGAGACTGCCACACGCCTGGGATCTCTGAGCAAGCGACCTGTTAAAGCTGGAAGATTTCACAGTATGGGAGACTGGTTTGTGGTCAACCACTTTTAACAGTCTCACCATATGTCAGGTTGTATTGCTGACACTTAATTGTTGACGATCTCAGGTTTGTTCCTAGCAAAGCCCTGGCATTTTCAGTAGCATCAGAGAGAGCACAAGCACTGCAACAGTACGCATCATTCCACAGGGCGCTGCTAAACCTTACAACAGCTCCTTGTAATCAGCTCGGGAATTTAAATCCCACCACTAATACACATTACCCGACGTTATTTCATTACAAAGGGCACAGTATAATACACTGACCAAAGTTTATCTTCCAACCAGCTCAAAGGACAGGAGGAACAACCTGCAAATGGACTGTGAGATCACCGAAACACCTGTGCAGGGGTGTGTGTGCAGGACTTGGGCTACAAGCCCAAGGAGGTGTTACTGCAGACATCGGGGTGTTAAATGTGCTCCATGCCCAGGGACTACTGGAATAACCCACAGGAATGGGGTGCCTTTCACTTGGACAGCATCAGAGCTGAAGCCGCAGAGGAACTGAAATTGCGCTCTAGTCCCTTTTTCTCCCCACAATAAGATGAAGAAAAGCCACTCATGCTGCACACATCTTCGAGGTTTTAGTTAGGTTCAGTTCCTTAGACAAAGTTGGTGAAGTGTGCTGGCTGCAATAGGAAACACTGAGCACTGCTTGCACAGGGTTTGGGTTTTCTCAGCTCTTGCTCTGCTGGTTGGGTAATGCAATCTGCAGCTGAATCTACCACATAACTTGCTGTATGTTCTGCTGTTTCTGTGGGGGTCATTGCTGAAGTTTCCACTTCCCTTTCTCCATCAGTTTGTGTATCTGTGAAACAACGCCTGTTTTGTTTGATGTTTGCTATCAGAAATCCAGCGAGTCCTTTGAAATGTGCTCTCCTCTCTGGTACAGTAGTTCTCTTTAGGCACTCCATGGAAGGTGACCAGATGTGCAGGAATACCCCAGATGACAAACTTCATTTAGCAGACAGCAATTCATTCTCTGCTGAACACAAAAATTGGTTTTGCAGGGACATTTTAAACGTATGTGCTTTAACTTTTCTCTACATCTGTGAAACAAAAAGCTCCAACCACCCCAATTCCTTACTCTGTTGTGAAGAATGATGCTCAAAAGCCACAATAAGCAGGACTCTGCCACATATGGCGCTGCTAAATGTACCCAGCCAAATCAGAGAAGACACAGGGACAAACCAACATCAGCACCAGCTAACTATGAAATTCCAAATTAGATTTACCTCTGAAGTAGGGCACAGGTTAATAAGAGTGTGGGAAGCTGTTTCATTTCATAGAAATAACAGCTTCCATGTCTAAAAGCATATTTAATCTGTGTGACTGTCCGGGCAGCGTGGCAGCCGTAGCAGCCCACGGCTGCAGGGTGTGAGGGCCGAGGGAAGGAGTGGGTCTCCTCCAGCTCTGCAGGAGCTGCAGGGGGGCTTTCTGCTTCCCATGCGGCGGGCTGAGGTCACCTGCTGCTGTGGTGTCACCTGGTGCTGTTGTGTCACTGTCTGCACGGGTACCTGTCTGACTGGATGAGCAGGCTCAGGACCCCTGCCTGGTTTCTATCTGGGATCGCAGTGATGATTTATACCCTTCTACCACATTCTGTCCTGTCCCTCCTCCTGCCTTCAGGGGTTATTTGTGGTTTGTCCTGAACACCACCAACCACTGGGAGGTCAGAGGGGCCTCGCTTGTTTCCCCGCTAACAGGATCTAATGCAGGGAGCAGTATCAGATGCAAGTCCAGGGGACATTATTCATGTACCTTCAGGCAGAATTCTGCCTGTGAAAAGAGAGGTTTATTTCATCCTGTTAGTAAAATCAGCTGCACAATTTCCTCCGGCTTGGACTGCAGTGCTCTGCCAGAGCAGCCATGGAAAAGCCATGAGCACAGACTGGCTCCACCTCTAAGCAACTTCCTCAGTCCTGTCCACCCTGGGGCAGCATCCTGACCCACTAACTCATGTTTTTGAGGTTGTACTCTGCTGGTTCCTGGTTCCACTCAGGTGATCTGCCCTCTCCTGCTCCCATCTTTCTCCTCCCCAGGCCACAAAAGGCCCTTCCCAGAGGAGCTCTGAGGAATGAAGGGACAAGTGGACAGAGGATGGGAGGGAGAAAGCAGTCAGCTGTAAAGGGGGAAAGGAAGGAGGAAAAGTAGCACAGATGGTGGAGGAGAAATGCTACAGCTGCATGAGCACAGGTTTTGCATAGCAGTACAGAGCCCCAGTTCCCCCATGTCACGGGGCTGGCAGTGAGACTGGGATGGGACTACCTGCAGAGAGCACCAGCCTGCACAGGATCCATTCTGCCTTTCTTTTCTGCCCTTACTTTTTAGGAAATCGTCCATATTTTTAAGCTATATAATCACACCACACAGTCACAGGGCAAAGGAAGGTTTCAGCTGTGCTATCTGGCACCCTACCATAATTTTACCCTGGAAATGTCTTTCTTTCCCCTGCGTAACAGTTCTTGAACCAAAGGTAGGAGGAATTGGGCTCCTGACCCAGAACTGCCTCTCCATAAAGCTGTCATGTTAGCACAGCAGTGCTCAGAAATCATTTGCCCCCTGCTAGGTCCTTTTCCCTGGATCCTGTATAAAATCAGGAAAAAAAGTAATACAGGTATTTATTTGCCCTCCTGCCTTTCCTTTCCCCTCCCCCTTCTCAGTGTCTGGTCCGTGAAGTGGGAAGCTGTCAGGCTGACAGATGCACAGCAGCCTCGGGAGAAGGTCAGGCACCAGGAGCACACAACATTGCAACTGGCTGTTTGGGTCCTGGGAGTGCTGGGGAACAAACACTGATTGCAGCTTATCAACAGCAGCGTCTCTCTCGCCTCGCTCACAGTCCTCCCATGTGCATCATTTCTCTGCAGGACTTGTCAGCTACCAGTGTTTTTTAGACAATATAACCAGGCCATTTCAGATGTGCTGGCAGCACACCTAAAATGGTGTCAACAAATTCTTCCTATTAATTCTTGATTTAGGAACTCAAGGGCAAGGGAGAACTTGCTGATGGACCTGTGGTACTCCTGGGAGGGAAAGTACAATGTATCCATACTCAGACATAGTAAGATATCTGGAAAATAGTCATGGACAGGACAATGGTATTCTGGAACTGTTCAACAAAGCTGGTCCACTATCACACATTGCTTTAAGGGAATTTAGTGGTCTGTGAATCACCAGGAACCAGCTCATGTCCAGCTCTACCTCTCACTTTGGCTGGACATCTGGCCTGTGCTTTCCCCTCCTACAGCGAGGGGAATGGAGCCCAAGGTTTCACGTTGGTCCCAGTCACAGGCAGGAGACAAGAGGTACAGGCAGGGTGGAGTGTCAGGAGCACTTGGATGTGAAGTGATAGCAGGATGCTCTGGGAGCAGATGTCCAACTGTGGTGAGCTACATCTCTTCTGGAGAACTCCTAGAAGTTTTCCTTGTTCTGGTTCCTTTCTTCAAGCCTAGTTTGCTTCAGTATTGCTGTGAGCACACTTGTGTTTTTAGGGCAACTGTCAGGCAAATTTGAAGTAGAAAATTATGTTGAGCAGGACACAAAACACTGTAATAAGCAGGTTACCTATTAACTTTGATATCTTTCTGTTTTACTTCACACTGTTGCCACAGTTCAGATCTTGATTTCACAATATTTTGCAAAACTGACAAAACCACATTTTATATTGTATGAGTAGCCATGGAGGAAGTAGAGGGGTTTGGGAGCCACAAGCCTCTGGAAGCAGAGTCATATTGCCAGCTTAGGACAGCAACTAAACAGATTTGCTAAAATCATGCAGAAAAGAAGGTTGGAAGAGACTCCAGGAGATGATCTACTCAAGTTCCTCTGCTTCAGCTGCATCTATTTGAATCTCAATAGTGATATTCGTGAAAATGTCCAGATATGACAATTCCACTCTTCCCACAGGCCATTTATGACAGCACCCACAAGAAAGGTAAAAAAGGCTCACTGCTAAAATGATTCCAAGGATAAATTAAGCAACTTAGGCTTTTACTTAAGGCTGCTGGTAAATTCAGTACACTTTACTTCATCTGTGACATCCTGGGCATCTTTTCAATCATAATCTTCAGTGCCCCAAGCAATAAAGAACATGCAGCTCGAGCTACTGTGCTGAGTTTCTGTGGCTCTGTGCCAGCTGAGGATCTGGCCTGTTTGTTTTTATAATGACAGCTCAG